AATAGGTACTTTGCGTCAGTCTTTCATCAGTCCCATGGGACGCCCATGCCCGCTACAGGGCCGGGAAGTCCGGGTGAGGGTGATCCCCTGCCCTCCATTAATGCTGACTTTGTGAAGGAACATCTTGAGAAGCTGGATACCTTCAAGTCAGTCGGCCCTGACAATCTTCACCCCAGGGTACTCAAGGAGCTGGCGAGCATCATAGCCCAGCCTCTAGCACGGATCTTTGAAAACTCTTGGCGCTCTGGTGTAGTGCCCGAAGACTGGAAGAAGGCCAATGTGGTGCCTATCTTCAAGAAAGGGAGGAAAGTGGATCCGGCTAACTATAGGCCCATCAGCCTGACTTCTATCCCGGGGAAGATCTTAGAAAAGTTTATTAAAGAGGCCATCCTTAATGGACTGGCCAACGCCAACATCTTAAGGGATAGCCAGCACGGGTTTGTTGCGGGTAGGTCTTGCTTGACCAATCTCATTTCCTTCTATGACCAGGTGACCTATCACCTGGACAAGGGAGAAGAGATTGATGTCATATATCTTGACTTCAAAAAAGCCTTCGATCTGGTGTCCCATGATCGCCTCTGGGAGAAACTGGCCAATTGTCCCCTTGGGTCCTCCACTTGTATTTGACTGTACTGAAAATACCCAGAACTATGTTGAAACTGTAGAATATGTATTACTTGGTCTTTATTTTCCTTATACAGTACCCTGAAGGAAACACCTTCCAAACTGATGCAAACCCAAGATAAGCATGCTGAGTAGTGCTCTGTTATCTTTTCTGCACCATCACTAAATACCATTCAATCCCTTTTAGCATCTCCACTGCCTTGTTCTGACTGTTCAACAAAGTAAATGAATAATTTATCCACTGTCAACTCTCACATCTAGCTTATAAGGTAGTAACTTGGGGGTCATCGTTGACCACAAGATGAACATGAGCCTGCAATGCGATGCGGCGGCTAGTAAAGCGACCAAAACGCTGGCTTGCATCCATAGATGCTTCTCAAGCAAATCCCGGGACGTCATTCTCCCCCTGTACTCGGCCTTAGTGAGGCCGCAGCTGGAGTACTGTGTCCAGTTTTGGGCTCCACAATTCAAAAAGGATGTGGAGAAGCTTGAGAGAGTCCAGAGAAGAGCCACGCGCATGATCAGAGGTCAGGGAAGCAGACCCTACGATGACAGGCTGAGAGCCCTGGGGCTCTTTAGCCTGAAAAAGCGCAGGCTCAGGGGTGATCTGATGGCCACCTACAAATTTATCAGGGGTGACCACCAGCATCTGGGGGAACGTTTGTTCACCAGAGCGCCCCAAGGGATGACGAGGTCGAATGGTCACAAACTACTTCAAGATCGTTTCAAGCTGGACATAAGGAAGAATTTCTTCACTGTCCGAGCCCCCAAGGTCTGGAACAGCCTGCCACCGGAGGTGGTTCAAGCGCCTTCATTGAACACCTTCAAGATGAAACTGGATGCTTATCTTGCTGGGATCCTATGACCCCAGCTGACTTCCTGCCCTTTGGGCGGGGGGCTGGACTCGATGATCTTCCGAGGTCCCTTCCAGCCCTGATGTCTATGAAATCTATGAGGAACAGATATTGCAAATAACAATAAATAACAAATATCCCAAGACTGGCATGTGTACTTGTTGCCTTTCGATTAAGATATAATGAGTGCCTGAACGCACAGCCGCTTTCCTGCTGTTGACCCACTGATGCAATCCAAGGACAACTGTTAGGACACGCTTTGTGATGTGGTTTGTACCTTTTATCCCATGAACCTTTTTACGGTTCATCTCAGAGATGGACACTTGAATGACTGCACTTTGTCCCAGGATGAATTGTTGCATTTGTCCCCAAACAGACCAACTGTTTGTAGCCATGGTGGGTAAAAAAAACAGACATTGCATTTGAGTTGGCTCTGACCAATCCGAGTCAAAACAAGGGAGTGGCACAGCCCTTTTCCAAGGCAGGTCCTCTCTGGAATCAATAACGAGTAACACTAATTAGGCGCAACTGTCCAGAGAGAAAGCATTAATCTCAGGCTAAAAACAGATGCCATATTTCCTCTGGGGGAAAAAAAAACAAACCCTTTTCCTGGGATCCTGCAGATGCACACCCAGTCAGACCCAGGATAAACCCAACTTTATTTTTATTCTCAGGTTTATTCCAGGTCTGATTCTCCTGGGTTTTGACTCGCATCAAAACAGGGTAGAGGACAGTCTTTCAACAGGCAGCTTGAATGGCAATTACCTCAAATTAGCCGATTAAGTGTCTCTTTCACATACCTGTCTCCATAGCTGTTTCCATACCAGCTATGAACTGCCTGCCCAGAGGAGTTTTCCGCCTATTGACTCCTCTATGAAATATGAACTTTCATTTCTACCCAGAACTTTTACAATCTTTTCTCCAATGCCTGAGGAAGGGTGTTTGTGCTCGAAAACTTGCAATTAAAGATTTATTTTTTTTTGCAAAAATCTTGTTGGTCTAATAAAAAAGATATCATCTCTACTATGAGTCCCAATTGTTTTTTCCTCTAGACCAATACGACTACAACTTGGACACCTGTCCTCACAGCTACTTAAGGGGGGGGTCAGTGGGCTTGGTCGTAGGACACCAGAACTTTGTCCCAGGGGAAACCAGTTGCCTGTATTGAACCTGGCAGGCCCAGTGGCAGGGCAATTAACTGAAAACAGACCAGGGTGTGATCTGTATGGCAGCCTCTGGCTGCCCTGCCCAGCAGCAAAGCCCCTGTCCACAGCCGGCGCCCGAGGGAGCCGAGCTCAGGCAGCTTCACGGGCAGTCACGCCCAGCGAGGGGCCACGTCTGCTCCGCCGGGAGCCCTGACTCAGACCGGTCACCGGGAGGAAGCTGCGGCCTGTCCCGGGCTGGGACCCGCGCAGGCGGAGCAGGGCTCCCCTCCCCCGGGGCCGGGGCCGGGACCGGGCGGACTCACGCGAGGGCGGGCGCGCGCGGGCCGTGCTGCTTGAGCAGGCGGCGGTTGCGGTAGTGGCGGCCGGACGAGAGGT